AATAATCAAAAAAGAAACCATACTTATATCAGAACTAAATTGTGCATCGTCATAAGCTCTTGGATCTGTTGGATCAAGAAATCCACCGGAAAATGTTCGATACGTTTGATGATTTAAAATAAAATCAGCTATATTCGTATGACCCAAATAAATAGCCAAAAGAAGTGCATCACGAAAATTTTCATAAGGTATTGCATTCAATAAAACTCTAACAACTTCAAAATGTTCATTTTCAACAGCTAATTGAAGTGCACTTCTACCCATTTTATCTGATACATCTGCTTTAGCTTCACCTGCTTCTAAAAGATTATATACAAGCATATAATCACCATGTGAACAAGCAAACAGAAATAGATCATTTATATCATCAAATGTTTTATTATAATATGTATAACTAGTCGCCGAATGATCAGATGTACTAGGTCCAACTTTGAGACGAGGATTGCGTACCATGTTAAGTTTTTTTTCTAAAAAAAGAAAACGTATTAAAACAGACATTATCTCGTTGTTTTGAAAGATTTTTATGTAGAACATATTAATCAACCCAAGGGTGATAGATTTAAAGAATGAGTATTAGATGTTAAAATAGATGGAAAAGTTTTTTTCATCACGAACATCACTTTTCTATTTCTATTTGACACATCGATTTATGAAGCATTATAAAGAATAGCTTTCATCAATACAAAACTAATGAGAGAAAGAAAACACCGAAAAACATTTCTGTCATAATTAAAATACTATAAATCAATATTTTACATATTTTTGAGACTAGTTTTTTCCTTGTTCTCTTCAGTATAGTTAGAGAATCAAAAATTATTATTTATATCTTGTCATTTTTTGAATAATTCTTCTTTTGCCGATATCGTCAGTATTGATGAGAAGAAAATAAAAGTTTTTAATCAATGCCACTTTAGAAATTCATATGCTTTCTCCTTATTTTATATATAGAGAATAAAAAGAAAATAATAATTCTAAGAAACCTAATCTATACTACATTTATATCTCGATACCTTACCGAATAAATTGGTTTTTTCTTTAAGAATCAAGTTTATGAAAAAGTATTAGTTATTTTATTCGAACAAAAAAAAAGTATTTTCAAAGATTTTGGAATTAAATAAATGAAAACTAACATGTTGAAATTACAACGATTATATCGGGTAGGGATCTTTCTTTCCTGATGACGAAAATAGAAACAAAGATATAAGAACTACCAAAACCTTTTCTTTCATTGAAGAACTACTATTAGAACTTGATTGTTTTTCTTCAAATGTTGATACTTTTTTTGCATTCTCTGTTTTATTCTTAAACACAATAGCATTAATTCATGCTATTTTAACACGTGTTTTCTTTTTCTAATAGGAAATAAGACAACGAGAGAAGAGCTTTCAGAATTTTAATGAACAGAGAATAAAAAAAACAGCTAAGATAAATAGAAAAGAAAATATGATATGACAACAAAGTCATATTTTTTTTATTATTTAATGATTTTGATTTAACTAAAACCAGGACTATTGAGAAATATGCTTGTTCAATATTCTATAAGCTTGTTGAACAGATTGAATTTAATCAAGTTACAATCTTGAATTTCAACAAACTCATCTTTCTATTGTATGTTTCACTAAATGTATGTCAGATAGATAACATTATCTAATGACATGTAAAAACCATATAATTCATCACATCATCAGTCGTTATTTTTTCAAGTTACAAAAATGTTTTATATAAGTGAAAGTCACTGTTGTTAGCATGATTCTTGCATGAGATATGAAAGATCCAGGAATAAATGAACCAATTGTTGATGTGAATAAATTTTAAAAATCATAAAGAGTATGATTTCTTAAATTAATCATATCATTCTCATGATTATTTATATATATATATGTGTATGTTAAATCAACTTTATTATAATACAAAATATTGAAAAACTATATTCTTTTGTTACAATTTTTAGATTACTAAAACTATGATAAAGTTTTACTCTTTTTATGACGTTGATCGTTGTATTACAATAAAAATGATTAGCAGTACTGTGTGATTAGTCGTTGAAATAATAAGAAACTTTATGAAAAAGAATATTGCATAAACAATAATGAATATTAATATAAATAGAAGTCATCGATAGATAGTTTTACTCATGATGATTAATGAAACAAATAGAGAATCAAAATATTCATTCACTGATAACAAAATAGACACAGAAGTGAATCATACAGCATACAAGAGTCAGATTAAATATTATATTTCGTCAGCAACCATGTGACTGTCAACGAATGCAAAATTTTGCTTTCGTCCTCAGAAAATAAAATTATTTTCAAATCAAATTTTCATTTGTGTATGTTCATTCGATAATTTACTCTACAGAAAAAAAGTCAAAAGCAACACTCAAACAGTGATGACGGTGATGAGCAGACTTTTCAACAAATTTCTGCAGACATTATTCTATTCAAACATTATTAAAACAATAGTTTCGATGCAATGTTGAAATATTTATTTATCTTTTATTGTGTTTGTTACCATTTTGTAGTATTTCGTAGCGATTTCACTGATCTATGGTAATGAAAGATTGCCATGTTACATGAATTAGAATCGCCACAATAGTAAATAGAAGAATGTATAATATACAATTGTTGTAAACAGATCTATGACTTCAAAACATTACTATTATCATATTCGTCTGTTGACATTCCGATAAATATAGCCATGCATCCAAATAACAGAGAATATTTTCAAGTGTAATATTTAAATTCTTTGAACATGTGTATTTTGCTCATCCATTAATAATAAAGAATTGCAATAATGAAAAATTTGTGGATATTTCGCTCTCAATGATATTCCCAGGGTTTCCGATTAGAGAGGAAGCATGAAGGAGACTTCTCCTTCCCCCAACAAGGTTCAGACTTTCTGCGGAGTTTTTAAATTTCAGCTCCGCAGAAAACTCCTGCATTTACTGGAATGAAATAAAACCAAAGATACTTTATGTGAAATTTCTGAAAGAAAGTCGATATTATTTCTGTCAAATATCTCGCAGAGAGTAGATTTCACTTCTGCTGTTGTGTATTGTCATCTTCTCTTCAGTGACACATACTTATGTATACACATCTGAAATGGTAATGAAGACTAATTATTAAAATACTTGTGCCTTTTTGCTTCAAAATAATTTTATATTGAAAAACTTATATCAAATAAGTCACGATTACTAGTCTCTATCGGTAACGAAGAATTTCTGATTTTTTATAGGCTCAAACGTTTTTTGCAGAAAAGGCGATTGTTTGCGAAAAAAATATAGGCTTTTCGCTAAAATTATATTCCACCTTCCTTCCTTATTTTATATGATATGAAATATACTAATGGTTGAATAGATAGTGGTTGAAAATGCTATCAAAGTCCATATTTAAAATATAGCGATAACCAAAACTAGCCAAAATCTATTGAAATATAGATTAGAAAATAATAAATCAATGCTAAAAGTTGTTTTTTGATGTTTCTGGTTTTACCATAACTATATTTTTTTATACAAAATATCATCGTTTAAATGTTGTTGAGTATTTATATATGAATATTTTCTCGTTCATTATGCTCAATAGCTATATCCAACCGTTCAATTGTGAATAAGAATTCGGGCTCTCCTTGTTTTCAGACATAATCACAAAGATATGAAATAAAATGCGAAAATTGATTAAATAAAGATAGAAATCCACTTCAAAATTTAAGTTTATTTTGTATATAGTTCGACAAATCAGGATTTAGATTAGATACACCAACAGTTAGGTCTTCTGATATACTACTGCAAGATAAACATCAGATGAAAGATTACGATTAGTAGAACAGCAAAGATGGAAGTAGCGTAAACCATCATTCACACTAATTAGTTTACGTTTACATTCAATCCTGTGAGGAATTTTGATACGCTTATAACAGATAAAAGAATAGAAAAATTAATAGCATGGAATAGTTCGAATGGGTCCAGATTAAAATTATCCAGTTGGGTCTGATAGGATCCCTAATCTGCTGATATTAATTATTTCTCGGCTTGATAAATTTGTATTGAATTTGTAACAGTCATCCTCTGGAGATATAAACTAGCTGAATAAACATCATTAATGTCGATAATGGTATAAGCTAATACTTCAGTTTGTCATTATATCTGAACTATCCAAGAGTTTTTGACAATAGGTATCCGATGCAAATCGATGATAATTAATTAAATATCTATAGCTTTACTTTTTTTTTTTGAGATTATTAGATAACATTTGAAACATATTTTTGCAATACTTTTTATGACAACATGAAGATATTTTTCCACGAATTGGAACCGAACTTTCATGTTCCTAAGCTAATAGTGCCATCGTGAAGAAAACCTTCAATGCAAAAATTATCATCGTGAGATTATTAAAATAGAAATTTTTCGTGAACATCAGTGAGATATTTTTGCATGAGAACTGCTTTTCCTTCCTGATAAGTATAATTATTATCTGATGAGAAGGGAAGATGATTAGATTTGAAAGAGTCTACTTTAGTTATTGTCTGAGGAGCCTCAGAACAAACACTACAACTCGTTCTCTTAGACAGTTGACAAGAGTGACTTTTCATTAGTATCAATCATATATATTTATTAAACAAAAAATATAATTCCTAGAAATGATACATAGTAATATTACTATAGATATAGTTAATTAGTCAGAATATAAAAAATTTACATATGATTTATTAATTATAGTAAGAGGCGATTGTCAAAATCCACCGCATAAATTTGTTTATTCAAAGGCACGTAAGCCGTCAGACAACGAAGACGAAAGTGATTGTCATTACAACAGTTTCGAACTTATTTATTGTAGCACAGTTATTTTAGTATCCATTGGTTCGAGAGAAATGTTTTGTAGGTACGTAAAAGTAATTTCTTTTTCGAAGAATGTATTCGATCGTCATAAATTCATCGACAACTAGTAGACAAAATGTATATAAAATTCTTGAAAGCCTGTATTTAATGAGAATTATTAAAGATGGTAAGGCATAATATTCGTTAACTATTACATTGGCACATAAGTTCTGCATGTTTTTTTTTTCATGTTTTAGGTAACATTCAGGCTTTATGTCTCATGATTAGAATATGATAGAGGTCTGAAATTTTTAGTATAAATAGGTTGCTATGACTTCTATCTTCTTTAAAAATTTAACACCTCTATCACTTTCTAATTACGAAATATAATGCTTGAAAGTTGCCTAAAACACGAAAAAAAACGTGCAGAACTTATGTGCCAGTGTAATAGTATGTTTCAATTTGAAAGCTCAGAAGATACTTTATCAGATTTTATTTTATTAGTTTCTAATAAATTGCTAGATTGCTTTATAATCAATCTTATAATAATCCTTCATTTAAAAAAAGCAGTTAACACTGGACTTTATATACTTGTAAAAGATCTAATGAACGTGATCATTTGTTATCTTTTAAATTGTATTTTACAGAAAAATTGTTTACAAATATATTTACTGCATACCATAACGAACTAATATTTTGTAGTTTTATTGAGCCAGTTGAAAGATAGAACTGATGCCTGACAGAGCGCTATAAGTAGAGGCGATTCCGATTAACTTTTTGAGTAATGAAAGAAAAAATTATGAGCGAAGAAAACTTTGAAACCGCACAAGCAACTGAAAAACATGACAACAAATAAATACCCAGTTCTTCCTCAGATACAGTATAAGAATAAGTAAAGACAGAATAGATATATTGGATATATGTGTACAAAAAAAACATTTAAAAAAATGCTTCAGAGCATCCTATCAGTAATTCGATATCGACTTTTGAATTCTGGGTGATCCTATCTGATCAGTTATATTCTTCGTAGTACGAACACATTTTTGTTAGAATCAATGACATTTTCATTTTATGAGCGTTGTTTTTGTTGATAAAATTCCATCTGTAAATTCTTTGTATATTTAAGTAGTAAACAAATTAATTAAAATAACTGTGATGAGGTGAATATGGAATTACAGTGTGGTTGAATTTCTTCTCATGGCAAATGCAAAATATACATATTTAACCTTTGTATTCTTGAGTAAACAGTGAGCAGATTGGAAAATAATGGGAAAATTTTAAGTCGAGTGTTCAGATTACCAACTATGCTGGCAGCTTCACAGTATGAACTATATGTTGTGACATAAATTGGTAAAAAATTGAAAATATAAATTAGTAAACCGAATATGCTGTTACAAAAATCAAATAAATATGATTGTGTCGATAGTTTTTTAATGCATTCCAATGTTATCTTAGGTATTTCTAATAAACATCTGAGTCTTATGTACAAAAACCATCGATTATTGATAATAATTTGTGCAAAATGATCAGTAGAAAAATTCTCAAATTATTGACCCGTTAAATTGTAAACTCATAGAGCAATGAATGAATAAACATATTCTATGAAGTTCTCTCTTACAAACGCAACACGTAGTGACATCTATACAATACATGTTTGATATAGATTGTAATGTCAAAATAATTTTGATATTATAAGTATAAATGTTTAAAATTATTTGAACATTATTAAGATATTTTCCTTAAAGGAAGAGATGAAACACTAGTAACGTAGAATAATTATTGTCAAAAACTCGTCGAAAGTGCCGCTAATAGAAGTGTGGACGAGAAAGTAACATCATGATTATATACATACACGAATAAATGAATGATATAAATATGAATACAATGATTATCCTTCTGTTTTAGTGTGTCTATCATTAATTTGTACTTTTTAAATAGATTATTATTACAAAAAGTTTGTGAAAAATGCATTCTCCATTTGAGGAAACTGCCAATGCTCGAACATTGTAAGTAATGTTATTGTAAAAAAAAATTGTGTTTATTACCACCGTTTTCATTTAATATTACAGATATGTGGGTAATCTCGATCCATCTGTATCCGAAGAACTCTTGATGGCCCTATTTACACAAATAGGACCCTGTAAAAATTGCAAAATCATTCATGAAGCATGTTTTTTAGTATGCGATAAGACAATTAATTAAATCAATCTATTTTTTAGTCGACCGGTGATCCATATGCATTTATTGAATTTACTGAACATCAAGCAGCAGCACATGCTCTACTTGCTATGAATAAACGATTAGTTATGGGTAAAGAAATCAAAGTAAATTGGGCAACAACATCAGCAAGTTCAAATATAAAAGTTGATACAAGTAGTAAGTATATTCATAATGAAAAATACAAATTTTTCATGATTCTAATTGTGTGTTCAGAACACCATCACATATTCGTTGGTGATATAGCACCTGAAATTGATCAAAATGCATTACATGAAGCTTTTGCACCATTTGGAGAAATTTCGTAAGAAATTAAATCAAACCATCTTATAATGTCTTCTTCTATTTATATAGAGAAATAAAAATTGCTAAATTTCCTGATACACAAAAATCGAAGGGTATATATTATATTTATATTCATAAGATTCAGCTCTTCACTTTTTTCTTTTGTTAGGTTATTGTTTTATTGCTTTTGCTAATCAACATGTAAGGATACAATGATCAAATAATAGGATTAAAAAAAATAGTTTATCTTTTTATTTTTAGGATGCTGAAACAGCCATTGCTAGTATGAATGGTCAATGGCTTGGTACACGAAAGATACGTACAAATTGGGCCACGAGAAAAGTACCAACTAATGAAACTGCCAGTAATACACGATATCGAGGTATGTATAAAAATATACATTGAAAGAATTAGAAAATCGATTTATGCTAATATTTCGACATTTTAATTTTATCAAAAAACTAATAATTTTTATATATACGATACCTAAAGAACTACAAGGTAAATATATGTTTAAGCCTATTTTAAAGAAAACTTAAATATTCAGATCATCATTTGATTTTCTTCGATAATTTCTTAAAATACTCATTATAAATATTCAACTGTCAAATATATTTTTCTAACTATTACAGATTTTCAATGTTCATTTATTTTCAAAGGAAAAGAAAAAAATTTTAAAAAAATTGTATTTTAAATCAATATGTTCGAATAAATATTATTCATGAAATTCTATATCTAGATCTGCATCAATTATAAATATATATTCACTTGCTGAAACCAATGATTTCGCCCTCTGGATGCGAAAAAAACTATTAGCTAATTTATATTGAAAACATGCTACATTGTTCAAAAGAACATCATCGTGAGTTTTCGTTTTCCGCTTTGCTTTGAGATTATTAAATTTGAACAGATAATTACAAGTTTTTATTTATTCTATAATTATTGTAACGATTCATTTTGAAATTATCATAAAAAATCTATTTTGAATTCTGATAAATATTGATATGACATTAAACCGAACATTAAAATGTTTTGTTAATAATAATCAGTAAATATTATTTTTTTTTAAATATACTCAGAGAAATTCTTTTTATTTATATATATAGCTTCCGATTCGTTCTACATAAGAGGGGAAAGAGTTAATGGAGGAAGTCTCCCATAGAGGTATTGAGAAGCCATTCATTCTTCAGTTTTTTTTTCAAGAAAATATATTCTCAGCTGGAACTTTTAACATGTTCGTTATTAGCTATGAATACTTTTACTTCGCCGCTATTTCTCGGATGAAGTATTCTTTTTTTTCTCATCCAACCTCTTTACACTGGTAGAAAGAAATAAAATGCACTTCTCTAAAACTTAATGGCTTTATCTAAAAAATTCACCATGCACTGCCCATGATATCCTATTGAAACTTTCTTAGCATCATATCAGAAAAAAATATTCTATATCAGTATTTTATGGAAACTGGTGGGAATTTATGTTTTTAACATAAGATATTCAATGAATGCCTAATAGGCTACTTGTTCGAAACATGTTCAGTAAAAATGACTGTTGAAATTACCATCCAGCTATTGAGTTGTATTTTGTACATAATATTCTGCAGTATCTATTAAATGAAATTAGATATATTGCTGATCAAACTATACTTTAGCCATTGGCCTTAACAATATGTTTTTTTCAATATATTACTGTTCAAGATATGACATGATTTAGTTTCTCTCTGAGAGAAAATAACGAGTTTTTCTGTAAAGAATTGCAAACAAAACATTGCTTTTGTATAGAGGATTGGGTCCTTCAAAGAGATCATCCTGCATTTTCTTCTTGATAATTAGATCTATTTATATATATTTTAAAAAAATCTTTATCAAAACAGTAAGCATAAAAGAGTTAATTAAAGTTCAGAGTTATTTTTCTATCATTATCCAACTTAAAGAAATAAAGTTATTGAAAAAAATTCTCACATAATCATTTCTTAGGTAACAATAGTAAATCATCTTTTAACTCATTGTGTTTCAAAATATAAAACAATCATTAAAACTAATGAAAGTAAAATGAATTAAAAGTCATGATTCTTTGTCTTCATCAAAGTCTATTATGAAATTGTACTGATACAAAAACATATGAATTCTTTGTATTTATTTTTATAACGAAATTCTCATTTAGATCCAAATAGTTCTCAATCGGTTCAAGAATCTTCCACACCTAAACTTAATTATAATGAAGTATGGAATCGAACAGGAGAGACAAATTCAACGGTTTATTTTGGTGGTTGTGGTGATATTAATGAAGATGTAGTTCGTTCAATTTTTTCATCATTTGGTCATATACAAGAAATACGTATATTTAAAGAAAAAGGATATGCTTTTATTCGGTAAGTTTATTATTATTATTTTTTGCTCTTAGAAAAATAGATTTAAATTAATTTTTTTCTCCTTTTTTACATAATAGATTCTCTTCAAAAGAAAGTGCTTGTCAAGCAATATGTCATTTACATGGTTCAGAAATTCAAGGTTATACAACTAAATGTGGTTGGGGACGTGATGAATCAATAAATGATCGAAATAATGCACCAAACTATGGCAATAGTAATACGAACAAGCAAAGTTATAATAAGAATCAATATGATTCTGTATGTTTGGATTCGAATAATAAACTTATTTTATCAAATTTTATATTATTAATTTAGTATTCACAAAATTCATATGGTCCACCATCTAATACCAATTATATGAGTTTGTATTGTACTTCATAAAAGTAATCTTAATAATTTTTTTTTATTAATTTAAGATAATGACAGAAGTGGTTACAATAATTACGGTGGTTCATATCAACAATCAAACTATCTTCAACAACAGTATTCTAATTCTCAACAATGGAATAATAATAATAATATCAATGGTCTACAATCGAATTCAATGCGTGATTCCTATTCACAGTAAGAAATAAGAATTTTTTCTATTGTTTTGATTGTTATTAAAACAAAAATAACAAGTTCAAGATTTTTTTGTCTATTAAGCTTTAAGATATACTGAGATTAAATGAATGTCTATTGATTAAAAAAAAATACTTTAACTATGAAATGATTACAATTACTATTGTTTCTTTTCTTTCTGCATAAAAGAATTTTTGAGATTTATTTCAACTGAATTGATCTTGATTCAATTGCCTCAACTTAAGTGGAAAACTAAGGTGAAGATTTCTGAATAGTTTTTTCGTTCATAGAATCAAAAAAAAAACAAGTAGATAAATTTGTATCAAATATTAGTTTATCAAAGTTAAACATAATTCTTATTGTACAATCATAACTTATTGGCTACAATAAAAAACACACCATTGAAAAAATCAAATGTTGTAATGCTGTTGTTCGTTTGTTTTTCTTCTGCTTTCACAAAACAGATTGATTTTGATAAATACGAGAACTTATTCTATAATGATAGTCTGTAATTAATGTGTGAATGTAGTATGTCTTCTTCTCAGCCATACGTCTTCCGAGTCAATATTCATCATACCATAATGATGTATTTATTCAACATCTTTTAGAAATTTATTTTCCTCTAATGTTGAGTTTACTCTTGATTATTCATATAGATCTACGAATGACGGTACTGGATGGAATAATAATAGCAGCTATTATCATGGACCTAATGCTAATCAATATAATAATAACTCACAACAATCTCATATGTATTCTTCAAATACGGGTATATTATTCAAATAAATTTCTTGTTAATACTTACGTTTTCTTTTTTAATTTTCTTTTTTTTAGGTTGGGGTCCATCACGACGTTAATTTATGAGTTTTCCTTGTTTTTTTCCTCATTTTTTTTATATATGTAGAAAACAAAACGAAGAAACGAGAGCGGATAAATTCATCATATTCGACAAATTTTATTTCGATTAGTAATTTACATATATAGACAAGAAAAAAACAATCTTCGATTGTTTTACTGTTGTTATTAATTTGTCTCACATGAAATCTAGATTGTGTGTGTTTTTTTAAAGATCGTTATACGTGCTTTTTCTTTTGTTCACTGTCTTTATTTCTTTGTTGTATTTTCTACGTCGAACAAAATGGTTTTTTTTTTTGGTTTCGATTTCTATAGAAGACAAATGATGACGTTGATACTATTCAAAGAAGAAAAAAAAACATAAAAAACGACGTAGTAGAAAATAATTTTATAATGAATAACAATTGTGTAAGAAGTCAGCAGGTTGAATGTTGTTAGTGCTTTCGAATGAATGGTAAGTATTTTTCAGAATGAAAAGAATAACGAAAATCATTTAAATTGCGTCGTTGGCAAAGACGCAATAGAAAATTGTTGCTCTAGTGCTGGGTACAAGGGGGTGTGTCAAGTGATAATTTCAATGTGATAAAAGAAAAAAGTTCGTATTATGGGGCTATCGGTATACGCGTTAATATTCAAAAGAGAAAAAAAAAAGAAAGACATAGGATGTTTCGTAGAACGATAGAGTAATGGTTGGTTTATTACACAAAAATATGGCGTGATAATGACACACCCATTAGAGGAAATGATTTTTCATATAAACGTCAATTTAATTCAAAGAGATGTCAAATACACGGTGTATATTTATTTATAAAAGGTTTTTTTAGATAATCAATCTAAGAATGAAATGATTTATGTTATTAAGATGATTTTATATATGTATAAATAGTCAAAGAAAAAACCAAATTCTAAATAAAATCTTACAATACAAAATAGAGCAAATATCAAAAGAATTCTTTAGTTGAATGTTTCATAAAACTTAGTAGTTTCAAAACTGAATCATTAATATGATCAAAATATAACTATGATTTTATAATTTTGTATTTATTATTCTCAATAACGATTGTGTTAAAAGATCTCTGTAAAGATCGTGTCAGTTTATTTTCTTACCAGTTAAATGTATAATAAATATCTTGACGAAATAAACACTTTCGTTCGTTTATATTACACTTTACAGTAGTGATTCTAGAATTTTTGAAAACGCGGAAAGGGCTTATGATCATCAAATGTGTTCTGAAACCCATTAGAGGTCGTATTGATTCATTGTTCGGCTGAAAAAAATTGAAACATATCTCAGCAGGAGAAACGATCACCTTCAGTGTCTTTCGCTAAATCTACTATTGACAGTTCATTATTAGTTTCTTCACTCTAGTAACTAATAAACGATGATTTTGATTATTATGTCGAAAAAAGTAGTTGGAGAGTTATTTTAAACTAACCTTTTCTAACTGTCAGCCATTTCTTATCTGAAAAATTTCATTGAATAACCAGCATTTTTTGATTTCAACTATATTTAGTCTTCATCATTGTATTCTTTTTAACTCTTGTAAAAAGTAATAAATAAAACTCATACTATTTTTAGTTGTAATTTACTTCATACAATAAAGATCAAAACTAAAATTATTTCAATTTGACAAGAGAACCTAAACAATAAAAAACACCTATTTCGAGATATTGTAAGAAACAAGAATTAACATCTGAAATGATTTAAATATTGGAACATTATCATGTAGTTCGCATGGTTAGAGTATGAATAAAATTACCGTCTTAATCAAAGATTTGAAGGAAGTAGAAACCAATAAGAAGTGATTTCGTTTTCTGGTTTATTATTATTATTGTTTATAGAATGATGATAATAGCCTTGTGTAGGCTATCTACGCTCTAAAACCGGCTATCGAAAAAAAATCAATGTTGGAACATAGCTATTTTCGGCCTGTTGTGTTCAATGATGTAACCATTTATTCGATCGTGAAAACGAACAACAGTCAGAATATGAATCATGCTTAAGTATGATTATATGAGTCAGTAATTCATCGAATATTCTGTTGATGCATAGATTTAGTATATCTTTTATGCTTCGTCAGCATTCAATGAGAATGTCGAATAAATGTAACGAAAATAGCTTCTGTTATAATAAATTCAACTCATTCAAAAAGAAAACAGCAAAGTATTTCAAATGTAAAGTTTGATAAAAATGCCCCTAGAAACAGAAACATTATTCACTAATACTCTAATAAAATAAGTATTGAATCATACGTTAGCTTTTCAATTCATCCTATAAGCATAATCTTTACGAAAATTGTTCTTTTTTCGATTAAAAATCAATCCTTATTAATCACTTAATCTTCATACGCAAAAGTTACAATGTTGACGTGTGTAACAAGTTTTCGTTTGAGTCACTAATAAGCGAAGCTTCCATAACTTCCTTTTCTTCGTCAGATCCTCGAAAAGAAAACAAATAGCAACATCATGATGACATGAGTTTTCTGGAAAGAAAGAAAATTTTCAATACAAAGGAAAAAAGAATCGAACGCTTATGACAAAGCTAATCAAAATGAAAAGAAAAAGAAATATACTATGCACTGACACATCTTCCTACTCCTAACAGAGATATATTCGTACGTATGTTTAGTGTGCGTTCTTTTGCCTTTACAAATCTGCTTGTCAATGGACAATAAAACTGCAACTATCATCATATTCAAGCGTTTTTGTCCTTGTGATTTTTTTTTTCTTTTTTGGCTTCAATCCATTATTTTTCAACTATTCTGATGAAATACAATAAAGAAAGAAAGAGAGAGAGAGAGAGAAAAAGAGAAACTAATCAACCAATGAAATAATTCATCTTGGGCCACACCCTCCTTTTTTTTTCTTATTTTCTTATCCATTTCATCATACTATTGTTTCTATTAGCGATGATATTATAAATACTGATGATGCCGAACTATTTCATATCATATATTAAAGATAAACTTAAACCAGACAATTTTCAAAAACCTTTTTATAAATTGAAATGGATTTTCTTAGTAAGTTATTCTTTATTTTATTAAATTATTCTTTATCGTTTATTATTATTATTATTATTAATAGATGCATTTAATAATTTCCAGAATCGATTATTTAATTTCAAAGTAGTTCAATTACCTAAGAGAATACAATATACATTAAAAGATGTATCTGCACATTGTACGGAAGATGATTGCTGGATGGTAATCAAAGACCTTGTCTATAATGTAACAGATTTTATGCGAGAGGTATATTAATTTATTGATTTATGTTTCAAATTTTTAATTTTTCTTTAAATGTATATTTAGCATCCAGGCGGTTCCGATATAATGTTAGAATATGCTGGCACTGATGCTACGATGGCATTTGCCGATAAACCTCATAGTTTAGATGCATGGATGATCTTAGAAAAATATATTGTTGGTGAATTGATACCAGAAGAAAGGATGTTTGATAAAGATAGCTCATCGTAAATGTTTTCTAAGCATTCTCTAGCTATTAAACATAGTAGAGTGAATTTTTGTCTCACATCTTTGTATATAATGTATAGGCGATGTGTATGCATAGGTGGCTATGTTCTATTTCGTTTTTTTTTTGTTTTATTTGTATTATTCAATTGTTTGTTCTTTCGTGCTCTGTCTTTTTTTATACTCTTGCCTCGTATTGCTTATTGTAAATACAATACAAATGATAGATATGCATAAAATTTTCAAATATTATAAGTGCCAGATGGCACCAAAGCCTCAACTATATTGTCTATGACCGCTATATAACATGACGTTTTTCTTTCTCTCAATAAGCAAAGATTCTTTCAACTTGTCCGAAGTAACATATGTATATAAATACATGTTTATCGAATTTTATCTAAAAGAAAACGAAAAAAAAGTTAAAACGGACTACTCTTTTTCTTTTTTTACTAAAAGTGACATGTAAAATAAAATAATATATCGACAGTTAAAATGCGAATAAGAAAAATGAAAATTAAGTTTCAATTGACGGCAATGTATTCACATAAGGATCTTGACCAAGTGATGTTGGCATACGTCTACCAAATGAATGTTTCGGAGCTGAATATTTATTTGATAAAAATTTTCTATTATCATGCGCACCTGGACCAGGAGTTTTACCTATTTCATGACAAAAAAATAAAATATAAAAAAAATTACCGAATTTTGAATGTAAAATAAGGAAAACTAAAGAAATTATACTTGAAGTATGTATAGTGGATAATTGAGTGCCTCCTGGACGTGATTTCAATGTAATAAATGTATTTTTTGCTTTTAATTTTTGAAAAGCTGATATTGTATCATATGTATCAGGACCGGGATTATTTTCTGATATTAAAGTTGGATTTGTTTGAAGACGTGTTGCAATAGACCATGCTGGAAAACTAACTTTAGTTACTTGAACACCTAAAGATGGTTTTGCTGGATAATGAAATGGTGTTGGCCAAACAGGTTCACGATTAAAATCAACTTTAGTTGTATATGGATCTGAATGTGCGAACCATTGTTTTTGCCAAGCTGTACGTGAGCCTCCTTCTACATAAGAACAAGTAAAACTATTGAATTGTTTTTTTTTTCTAATTAAAATGTACTTCTTTCAACAGAACATTTTGATCCAAATGAAAAAGCAGGTGCATTTTTTTCTCGACATGATTTACGTGGTAAGACATATGAACATGGTGATGGACCTCCATTTTCTTCAGCATATCGTACAATAAAATTACCAGTAATTGGATGAGAAAATAATGGCTTTTCTCTAAATTTAATAAATTATTTTCTTTTGTTTTTGTCTTCTATTAAGATAAATATTGGAAAAAAAAGTACGTTTTTAGTGGGTCAAGGTTACGTATTGTTAAGAGAGAATCGTAATAAAAATAAGAGATAATAATCGATAAAAAGAAATGTCTATTTTTAGCAGCAAAAAACATGTTTGAGTAGATGTGCATGTAAGTCATTACTTTTCATACGAATCATTTTCTTTCATGTAACGTTGAAAA